TTAGAGAGAGAGAAGTTCATTGCAATAGAAGGGTGTGTAGGTAGTTTGAGAAGGGATGGGTGATGTGTTGAGAGGTGTGGGATGAGGCTGGGTTTGAAACTGGGCGTGATGAAGAGGAGTGTTGTGACGATTACAAAAGAATGAGGCTTTTGGGTATGGGTATTGCAAACTGGGATGGGGCATCGAGGAGTGAGGGAGAGGCGTAGGAGGAGGTCATATGGATTCCAACCTTGGAAGAGGAGCTCGAGAGAACTGTGGCTGTTGGAATCAAAAGGGATAGAGTGAGTCATGTGTTGGGAGAAGAGGAGAAGAATTTGTGAGGTGTCAACGAATCAAAATTTAGGTAGATTTATTTTGTTTTTATGCATGAGGGACTATAAGACACCTATAATTTTGGTGGGTATAAGATCAAAATTTGCGAGAAGGGACAATTTCTCGTCGATCGTGCATCTCAATTTGCAAATTTCGCATTTCTCTTTCGTGCAGCAACTCGGGCATTACTAGTATCCTTTTCGGGCAATTGTGACATTCCAGATGCATCAACGTAGTCCGCTTCACAATGGGTGACATTCGAGTGAGTTTAAGGAAACGTCACACCCGTAGTTCATCTTTTTCATCATGTTTGATCGAAGTTGGCACGAAAAGTCCTTTTTTGGGTAAATTCTACATTTCAAATGCATTGGCATGGTCTGTTTTTGATAGGATCAAAAGAGACTTAAAATTAAAGGAGAACACTTAGGAGAAACAGGACACGACTCAATCCAGAAACAAGTGAACAACCACTGATAAAACAAACTCGATGCAAGAAACTAAAGATGTATTAAAAGAAAAGGAAGAAAAAAGAAGAACTAAAGAAAACAAAATTTAAAAACTAAAAACAATCCCCTCAGAATAACCTAGTAGTCACCTCACATGTAACGATAAATTAGTAAATTAGAGTGCTCTTATGAACATGCAAACCAGTGGTCCACAACAACAATCCCGATCCAACACCCGTTGTAAATCCTCTAGCAAATACTAACAAACCAGCCAACAACAACACCTCTTACACCTTTTGTAGACAATGTGGCGGAAACTTTTGGAGAGAAGAAATAGATAGAAGTCTTAGAGGAAGAAATAGGTAGAAGAAGAAGCTCTCAAGGTTAGAAACCCTAAGGTTTTTAGAAACAAATATTAAACTTCAACAACCTCCCAACAGACACCCAAAAGACACCCAATGCAGCCACCCCATTTAGCCAACCAGAACATAGGAAAAACCCAAGAGAAAAGGCACGGCAGAACCTCAAACCGAGCAACCAGGCCCCCTCAAAAATCCAGCCATAAACGGAATAGCCAGGAGCCAAACAAACACCAAGAAAGGAGCACGGCAGCTCAGGAACCAAGCAGCCAAATGCTCAAAAAATAGCTCACAATCAGCCACAACACTCCAAACATCAAACAACCAAAGAAACATGGGTCAAGCTCATTTAGATGAATTTCAGCCCAACAATAAATACCCAAGGAACCAAGAAAGCTAGCAAATCAAAGGTGGACATGACCCAAGAGCACTCTGCCTACACATGATCATTAATTGCCTTCCATCATTGGGGAAAAAAAATAAAACATAAAATCCACAGTACAATATAGTCCAAAATAAAAATAAAATGAACTTGAAATGAAGTTTATTGCATGCATCAGTTGTGAGACTACATGGTGTACACAAAACTTTTACCACTGATAGGGATACTAGATTCTTAAGCCATTTTTTTAGAATGCTTTGGTCAAAAATAGGGATTACGCTCCAATTCAGTAGTGCATACCACCCAAAAACAGATGGGTAAACTGAAGTTGTAAACAAAAGTTTAGGAAACCTACTTAGATGCCTTGCTGGTGAGAAACCTTATTGATGGGATTTGATTTTACCCCAAGCCAAATTTGCTTACAACAATTCCATTAACCAATCTAATGGAAAAACTCCTTTTGAAAGCATTTATGGCCAACCTATTCCCCACATTTTAGATCGAACTTATTTACCCATGCCTAGTAAAATCAATGTTGAGGCTACAGAAATTGTTGACCATATTTAATCAATCCAATATCAGGTTCTAGAAAAACTCTGTATGAAAAATGCTAAATACAAAACTACTGCTGACAAACACCGAAGGGAGTGTCATTTTTAAGAGCGAGATTTAGTTATGGCATATTTTCGACGACAACACTTTCCCATTGGGACTTTTGGCAAATTAAGCCTAAAAAAATTTGGGCCTTTCCGAATACTTTGAAAATTGGAAATAAATGCTTACCTTCAGGATCTTTCACTTTATGTTGGAACTTCTCCTTTGTTTAATGTTGTTGACCTTACTTTATATGAAGGAAATCCAGCTGATTCTGTGGATCTAGAGACCTTACCTATTATCAGTTTGGTTCAGACCAAAGATGATCGTATTGAAGATGTTTTAGACATCAGAACTATCAAGACAAGACAAGGAGTGCACAGGCAATTCCTGATAAAAAGATGTGGGCATCCTTTGACTGATTGCACTTGGATTGAAGCAGAAGAATTATTGACTCGTCAATCCGATATCTATCAACAAATTAATGAAGCATTCTCATCATGAGATGAGATTCTTTCGCCAGGGGGGAACTGATGCATGCAATAGACTTCATTTCAATTTCATTTTATTTTTATTTTCAACTCTATTGTAATGTGGATTTTATGTTTTATTTTTTCCCCCAATGATGGAAGGCAATCAATGATCATGTGTAGGTAGAGTGCTCTTGGGTCATGTCCACCTTTGGTTTGTTAGCTTTCTTGGTTCCATGGGTATTTATTGTTGGGCTGAAATTTATCTAAATGGGCTTGGCCCATGTTTCTTTGGTTGTTTGTTGTTTGGAGTGTTATGGCTGATTATGAGCTATTTTTTAAGCATTTGGCTGCTTGGTTCTTGAGTTATCGTGCTCCTTTCTTGGCGTCTATTCATCTCCTGGCTATTCCATTTCTAGCTAGATTTTTGAGGGAGCCTGGCTGCTCGGTTTGAGGTTCTGTCATGCCTTTTCTCTTGGGTTTTTTCTCTGTTCTAGTTGGCTGATGGGGCAGTTGCTTTGGGTGTCTTTTGAGCTTTTTTCCCCTATTTAAATGTGATGTTGACTGTTGTTGGGAGATTGTTGAAGTTCGATCTTTATGTCTAAAAACCTGAGTGTTTCTTCCTAATTTTGAGAGCTTCTTCTTCTTCCTATTTCTTCCTCTAAGACTTCTATCTATTTCTTCTCCACAAGTTTCCACCACATTGTATCTTTATTCTCTACAAAAGGTGTAAGAGATGTTGTTGTTGGCTGGTTTGTTGGTATTTGCTAGAGGAGTTAAAACGGGTGTTAGATCGGGATTGCTGTGGTGGACCACCAGTTTGCATGTTCATAAGAGCACTCTAATTTCCTATTTTATCGTTACATGTGAGGTGACTACTAATTGGTTGTTCTGAGGGATTGTTTTGTTTTTAAATTTTGTTTTCTTTAGTTCTTTTTTCTTCCTTTTTCTTACAGCTTTAGTTTCTTGCATCTAGTTTGTTTTATCGGTGGTTGTTCACTTATTTTTGGATTGAGTCGTGTCCGTTTCTTTTAAGTGTTCTATTTTGGTTTCAAGTCTCTTTTGATCCCATCAGTTTTGCGAATGAGCAATGCATGGGTGATTTTGAGTGACATTGTGCATGTAGTCCTTCGTTTTTGCCGCATTTATTCGAATCAATTATGGGAATCCTTCTTTGATGATTTTGAAATTTCGAACGAGTTGGCGCAATCCATTTCACGTGCGGATGATGTTCAAGTTGTTTCAATTACAGTTGAGGCATTTTGAACTTATTTTGGGTGACCTCGCCTCACTTGGTCGTCATTCTCATAGCGTTTGCTCAAATTGATCGATAAAGAAATACAGAGGTCAACATGAAGTATGCAAGACAAGCTTAACAATAACAAAAATAATAACCACCTTCTACCTTAAATAAACAACCTCTTTATAAAGGCCTGAATTAGAATACATACATCAATCTTTCTTTAGACCCTGTATTAACAGGAGCTCTATACGCTCGACACTCTTATATAAAATAACTTTAAAAAATTTTCCACTTTCTGGAACAACTAAAACTTTCAGGCTTCAAGCTTCCTCATATCCTGATTAAATAAAACCAAACGTCTGACACATCTTCAATTTTCCAAAAGCACCAAATTGAACAACATAATTTGAAAGTTAGAATCACAAAGTTTAGATAATATATTATGGATATACATTATTTTAAGCTTCGCAAAATAGTATAAGTTCGGATATATGAAATGCTTTTAAGCAAGTTTAAGAAGCCAAAGAGGGGTTTTCACTTTATTTTAGAACAGGCTATGTAGTTGAAGGGTTAAATCTGTCTATCAGTTGTTTAAACTTTTCACAGCAACAGAAAGCATCATAAAGAAGAATTTGGTTCCTGTCTATTAAAGTCACAGTGATTTTTTCTGTTCTAAAGTCATCCATTAGCAACTTCACCAAAAAAAAAAATCTGGGACTTAGAACCCCACATAAAAGTTTCAACTTAATAATGACAGCAGAATTAATCTAGCATAATGAAGTAAAGACAAAATTAGCAATGATGAGCGTAAGATTTTAAGAATATTTAACATCAACAAAGAATCAATGAAGCTACAAAAGTCCAAATAGAGTTGCATTGATGAAAAAGCTCTGGATATCACTTCCTTCATCAATTGATAAGTCATAATAGATGGAATAGATGAACAATAACGTCTGAGTTTATCAATGAATGAAAATGAAAAACGAACAAGTCATGCAAGCCTCACTACCATCTTATAGAATTTTCCCTTAAGTCTGAGTTTATTATCAATGAATGAAAATGAAAAACGAACAAGTCACACTAGACAGAATAGATAAACATACCACCTCAGTTTACCAATGAATGAAAAATGAATTCTTAGCAGGTAATCGAAGCTATTCGAAACAAAGGCGATACAAAACATTTAGAACTCACCTTGATTAGATTAAGCACGATAATAGGATTTCCATATCTTCTAGCCAAGTCTTCAAAATGAAGCTTTGTTGCCTGATATGTTGGATCGTATCTCTGTACTTAATAAAGATAAAATTGAAACAACGTCAAACATTTTGGCTTCCAAATCCCACTATGAGTACAAAACAAAGGCAATGATGAAAAGTAATGACAATCAACAAAACAATAAAGGGTATTAGTCAATGTAACATTAGCTTAAAAAACAGCAGTTATATTTTGTATTCTAAAATTGCCTTCTTATTTTGTAAACCAACTACTCCATAAAATGGCGCACATAAATACAACAGCAATTATAATATATTTCATCCCATAATGTATGCACACACAACACGCTATACATAGTTTATAGGCAAGAAAAGATTTGTTAAACTGAACAAAAAAAGCAGTATGCAGAATTTAACCTGTAGGGAAAAGAAGAAAAACAGAATGGCGTTAACATAGTGGTTTGAACTTACAAATAATATCTGGTTTAGGACTAAATCTTGAAGCTTCTTGTGACCAGAAAAGAGGAATTGAACCTCTCATCTGTACAACTGAACTCATTTTTCCCTTACAACAACCAGCTTCCTCGTCAAGGACAATTTGCTCAGTTTCAACATCATTTGCAACTCTACCTTTATCGTTTACTCCTCTTTTCAAATAACTGCATTATAAGAAATCAAAGGAGACGGATAAACAAAAAAAAACTTCAGGGGAAATATATATATATATATATCGCTAAGGGCTTGTTAAATCAATATAACTTGTAGCATCCCAAATTCTATAAATCAATATAACTTGAGACAATATATGGTAGCTCCATCAATCCTAAATCAGCCCATCTTCCCAAATCCTATCCAAACCCAACCGGCAAAGCACAATGCACCCAAAGAGAGACAAATAAGAAAAATGCACATAAAAAGCTAGTCTTAAGTTGGTAAGGAGTAGCGATGCAGATTGAGATCTGCATTTGATGCCAGATGAAAGCAGCCGTCATCAACAGATAAAAGAATTTACATAGCTAGTTCAAGTTGTCCAGTAAAGTGTCAAGGCACAATACAATTGTAGATAACCAACAAGTAACTGTTCATAGTATTTCATCGCTTTTTTATAATAGTTTTCCTATTGTTTTCCAGTACCAAACTGATATGAAAGAGCAAAGCACCTCATCTCCCACCCCGCCCTAACCCACCCTACCAAAAACAATCAATGGTCCTCTCGCATATAAGGCTATACCAGAAAGCAGCTCTGGTCATTGTGAGTTTTGTGTAGGGGTTCATGCAATATTACCACTGCATTGCAAATTGATTATTTGCATGATTTTAACTGATGGCATTCAAGTTACAAGGCAACAACCTAACCATTTTTTCTACTACCAGCCTATACCTCACTAACAACAACAACAACAAGACTTTATCTCACTACGTGGGGTCGACTACATGAATCCTTTTTCTCAATTATGTCTGGTTAAGAGTCATTCTCATTTAGATCTAGTAAAGAAAGGTCATTTCCAATATTTTCTAACCAAGTCTTTTTAGGTCTACCACTACCTTTCTTAACATAGGTTAAATCTAATACATCTACTCTCCTAACCGGGTCATCAGAATGCTACCGTTTTATATGGCCAACCCATCTAAGGCGACTCTCTCTAATCTTATCTGCCACTGGAACTACTCCAACCTTTTCACGTGCATGCTCATTTTGTTTCCTGTCTCTAAGAGTAAAGCCACTCGTCCACCTAAGCAACCTCATCTCTGCAACACTTAACTTAATATTATGCTTCTCCTTTAATGGCCAACATTCAGCGCCATAAACATTGCAGGTCTAACCACCATTTTATTGAATTTTTCCTTTAAGTTTGAGTGGTACTTTTCCATCACACAACAAGCCCAATGCATTCCTCCGCTTCATCCGTCCAACTTGAATTCTACTAATAATATCCCCATCTATTTCGCCATCACTCTGAACAATAGACCCAATATATCTAAAATGTGTACTCTTATTAATGACTTGATCGCTCAAAGTCACAAACCCCCACTAGATCTATACTACTAAAAATGTATTTGGGTTTAGATCTACTCAAACAAAAATCTTTAGAAACTAAGATTGACCTTCATAATTCAACTTTACCTTCAACTCCCTCTTTAGTCTTATCAACAAGAAGAATATCGTCAGCAAAAAGCATACACCATGGAACATCCTCATGCAAATCTCTAGTAAGAAGATCCATGGCTAAAGCAAAAATATATGGGCTTAAGGATGATCCTTGATATAATCCAACTGAAATTGGAAAATACTTGGTCAAACCACCTTGTGTTTGAACAGAAGTAATAACTCCAGCATACATATCCCTAATGACTTGAATATAAGCATTATTAATCTTTTTATTTTTTAGAACTCTTCATAGCACTTCTCTTGGAACTTTATTATACGCTTTCTCTAAATCAATGAATATCATATGAATATCATCCTTTTTCTCTCTATACTTATCCATCAAACCTCTTAATAAATGTATGGCTTCCATAGTAGACCTACCCGACATGAATTCAAATTGATTTTGAGAAACATTAGTATCATGTCATAATCTATACTCCATAACTCTCTACCATAGTTTTAAAATGACACATCAACTTAATTCCTCTATAATTTGCACAAACTTGTACATCACCTTTATTCTTAAAGATAGGTATAAACACACTCAATCTCCACACATCTCACATCTTTCTAGCCTTCAAAATAATATTAAAAAGTTTAGTAAGCCAAGAAATCCCTTCATCTCCTAGGCATTTCCACATCTCTATTGTAATATCATCAGGTTCAACAGTTTTTACACACTTCATTATCTTTAAAGCCTCTATAACTCCAGTTTTAATAATACGCCAATAAAAATAAAAATCCCTATTTTCATTTGGAGTGTTAAGGTCATTAAAGTTAATCATATTTTCACAATCTTCATTAAACAGCTTAGCAAAATATCTCATCCACCTTTGTTAAATATCCTCTAAAAAAGTATTTTTTGATCATCATCCTTAACGCACTTCACTTGAACTAAATCCTTACCACTAAAATCTCTTTGTTTGGCTAGATTATACATATATCTTTTAACATCTTTAGTATCTAATCTATTATATAAATCATTAAAAACTAAAGTCTTTACATAGCAAAATGCTTTCTTAGACTCCTTACAGGAAACTTTATATATTTCTTAATTTTCAAAATTTTTACATATATACTAATTTTTATAACAGAGCATCTTATTTTTTATCTTTTCTTGTACATTTTAATTCCACCATCAACGAATTTTACTATTAGACATTTTTCCTTTTGATATTCCAAGTACATCCGCTGCAACATTCTTAATATTACAAACTAATATTTCTCACATAATATTAGCTTTCTCATGCAACAAAAAAAATCTTAAGATCGTGAATCTTACTCTCAAATATATTTTTGTTAGAGTTCTGTAAATGCCACCATCTAACCCAAAAACAACGATGTACTATATTTTTCATACTTTGCCCCTTCATCTTCAAGTCTAAAACTAATAAGCAGTGTTGGTTACATAGACTTTTACTCAGAATAACTTTACAATCTCTGCAATTTAAACGATATATTTTTCTTACAAGAAAATAATCAACCTGAGTTTTACTATATCCATAGTCTATACCTCACCCAAAACAAACAAACAAAAAAAAAAACAAATGTGTACCGATATTTAGAAAGATGGTTTGAATTGAAATGTTACAGCAGTTGGTGAGAATAACAATAATAAATAGGTGAACTTGAGCACTATTTATGTTTTCCTCAACCATCTGCATTTCCAGCAATTGCAGCTTAGAATAAGGGTTTGTCAGCATGCCACTACGTCCCTCCACTGTCAATTTTCACCAATAAATTTCTTCATGCCCCAAGCTGTCAACCACAAATAAAATGGAGACATAATGTGACACTCTTGCAGATGACTAAGAGTTAAAAGAAGAAAATCTCATGGAATAAATAAACTAAGTTATCTTTCAAAAGGTATTATAGATTGTTCACTCAAGTGGCTCACTTCCACTACCTACAGTCTTGTTCTGCTAGTTTGCCTCTCACTAAAGTCATGTCACCTTCAGTACACGCTGGCCTAGTCAATCTCATGTGCTATTGCTTGTGGAAGGCTGGATCACTTTAGTGTTGCTTCATTTGTGCATGCACCTGCCCTTGTTTTTCACTCCTCATTCATGTGTTGTTGATGACTGGATGGCAACCCGCCTCCATGTTACAATGTGTAGCTAATCTTCTATCTCGCTTCAAACGGCAACTTCACTTCCCCGTCAATGATTTTTGATGCCGACATCATGGACCAGCCTCATGCTTCATCATTACAGAATTATCTCCACCATGTGTCTCTTAATGTTCCACCTACTCTTTCTCCCCAAATGTTTTTGAATCCGCCCGCCCCCCCCCAGGTTTCCTCCTCTATTCTCTTTTACTAATATTGTTAGAGAGAACGGTTTGCTGGAGGATCTAGCTTCATGTTTTCCTTTATTCTTTGAGCATGGCATGAACTAAGTAAGATGCAAGCCACACAATACAGTTCAGGGTAAATCCATTTTTTATTTTTTCAAAGACAAAAATATCTGATCAAGTGGCCTATTTTCCTACTCTTTGGTCATTTGAGCTTGGAGATAATTCATTCCTTTTATAAATGAACTTTCCTTGAATGATGCCTTCATGTTGGTCTTTTTTATCATTATCACATATATCAAACTGTCCTTGGAAACAAATTATTCAAGGATTTTATCTAGATGTTCCTATCTTGAGAATGGTTTACTAATGCATATATTGAAGTGATCTTTATATTTTGATACTTCTAAGAAGCCTTCTATTAACCCAATTTTGGTTTTATTCCCTCGCACTAGTGTCTACTATATCTACACTATACAATTTTGGGATCAATTTTTGGAAAACTAATTCAAGTGAATGTTGCTAATGCAAGATTCTCCTAATCATTTGTGGCTTGAGTTCTTGTTGAGATTGAAGTTTTAGATTCTTTGGCTAGGGTTATGGATTGGCATTTCTCCCTATGATTATTAGCAAAAAGTAGAATTTGAGGGTTTGACTTAATACTATCAGTCATGCAAATCTTTGATCATAATTATAATGATTGCAATCAGGCACAACCCAAAATTTAGAAAATCTTCTTCTAAGGGGCCACTACTATTGGGAATTGCTTGCTTGATCATAATTTAGGCACAATATTTTTTTGGTTAATTCTCATAATCAATTGGTGCCTTCTAATTTGCTGGGAGATGCTCCCTCTGCCTTGGTCCCCATGGTAGGTTCTAAAGCTTTGGATTCTCGTTAGTTTCTTCTCTTGAGCCAGGGCCTTCCATTATTGTTGTAGGTCTGTTGGCTGTCATTTTTCCCCTTATTCATGCATCTCAAGTTGCATCTAGCTTGGGCTTCCCGAATCTTCAATAGCCATGCTTATGATAACAATATGACAACCTATAAAGAATCTAGTTATCAACCCTACTTTCTCTCCTCCTCCAAATGTTACCATTGTCCCTAATGCTACTTATGAATATTCTTTTGTGGAGGTAGTTGATGACTCTAGTTCGTTTCAATCTCAAAATTCAATCAAAAGTTTAACAAAGTTCATGGATAAAATGTTTCATGTTGTGTTTTCTCGTGGAGGCACAAATCGAGAGAAAAAATATCTTCACTATCTCATGGATATATTAGATTCCAAGCTAGACACAGTAAATACCCTGATGACTTTGGCCTTTTGGATTTGTTGGTACCTATATGTGGGATTGTTTCTCTCCTCATATATGGATATTAATAGCTTAGCTTTCAAGTTATCCTGATTGAATGTATTATATTTATTTTTCATGTAAGCAATTTTTTTTTTGACTATTTAATCATGTAATATTTTTTGGGGACTAATTATAAATTACATCATCTGGGGGAAAAAGCTAGAAAATATATGGTTTATACCTACTTAAATACAACAATAGTCATAACAATCATTCATCTTTCTCTTTTATATTTATTTCAAATAAAAAATAATGTTTGGAATCATCAACATATTTTTGTCCATCTTTTAAAATTCTTAAATGTTTGTTTTCTTCATTATTCAAAAATGTTGATATTGAAAATTTTCATTGTGAAATGTGTGAGATTACTATCATAAAGTACCCATTTTTTAAGTGAATCACGATCATCTACTGATGCAGAACATATATGAAAATTTGATTTAGATAAGGAATTTTGCACACTTAATGAGTAAGAGCAAATTAATTAAATCTTTATGGTGATTCAAACAATGAAATAAAACATAAGAGCGGTAAACACAAGCTTAGGTCAAGTTACTTGCGAGAAGTAACCACATAACAATCAATTACTCTTGACGTTGCAAACGAAATGTGTTTCAACAAGAAATCCCTAATCTAACAATAAGAGTAGTACTATGAAAGATCTCCCACACAACTCCTACTAAATACTAGGCTTTAGCGGGAAGAATTAACACAACTTTTCATGAGTCAATTAGAACTACAATTGAGAGCGACTAAAAGATAAAAGAGTAGGAGGAAAGATCACCCAAATAATCAAGACATACAAAGCTCCGGTGTGGTGTCTATGTGCTTGAGCGGAAGTAGAAAACAATCTCGATTCTTCTCGATGTCGTTGGAGAACAATCTGAACTTTAGAGCCAGCGAAACAGCAATCGACGATTGCTGGACAGCAACTTTGACACTTGGGAAAGTCTGGACAACAAGTAGCCAACCTGGGATGGCGATTCCGGACAGTCCCGGGCAGCACCGGTCGCGTCCAGAGGGGTTGGACAGCAGTGAATTGCTGCTGGAGTCTCTGAACAACAAATAGGTGGTCTTGGACAGCAACTCTCTTGGGTTTGGAAGGGTGGAGAGCCACTAATAGCATTTAGAAATTTCTGGACAGCAAGCAAAGATGTGTAAACAACAGCACATGAAGATCGAGACAGCTTTCTCCCAAGAATCCGAGTGGGAGAAGGCAAGGGAAGGTGGCCGGCCAAAGGGGAAGGCTTGGGGAAGATTGGGTTCATGTTTTGGGTGAATTAGGTTTTGGGATGAGGGAGGGGGCAGGTAGGCTAGGGTTGAGTTTGGAAGTATTTCCAAAGTGGGGGGCTGGATTTTAGGAAAGAAATATTGGGGTGGGGATTGGAAAGTTCGGCTAAGAGAGAGGGGGAGGATGGGGTGTCTAGATGCAATGTATGGGGAGATTAACTAATTAAATAATCAATCTCAAATTTTGATTGATTACTAATTAGTGGGCTTTCCAAACTTAGGCATCTTTAATTAGGGAAGTGTGGGGAATTGAATTAATTAAATAATCAATCTCAAACTTGGGATTGATTAATAATTAATTGGCTTTCCAAACTTAGACCACTTTAATTTGGAAATATTATACTTTCAAATTCTCTTGAATTTGAATTCAAATAATTTTCAAATCAAACTAATCTATTTTAGAAATGGGCAAGGGGGGTGGCTGGCGGCTTGAATGCGTGGGGAAGGAGTCGCATGTTTGGGGTGATGGTTTGGGGGTGGGGCAGATTCAAAAACATTTATTGAAAAAAAAAATGAAGATAGACTTGCATGATTTGAACATATAAAACAAAGGGTAGAAGATATACATATTAGACAACGATGACAACAACATCAAGCCTTTATTTCATTATTGGGGTCGGCTATATGAATATTTTTTTCATCATTATATCCTATTAATAATCAAATATGCACAATGGAGAAAAAAGATTTATGTAGCCAACCCCACGTAATGGGATAAAGGCTTGATGTTGTTGTTGTCGTCGTTGTCTTCTAATGTGCACATCTTCTAACATTTGTTCTATATGTTCAAAACATGCAAGTCTATCTTCAAGCAGATAAAATAAGTTTTGGAGAACTAAGTACTAGTCATACAGTAGCAAAAATAAAAGTTGTTAAAAATAATTTGCAAAAAATAGGTTTTACACCTCAAGTATCACTCGATGGGAATAAATGAAAAATGAGAATTGATAAAGCCAAATCCAAAAAGTTAGGGTAAGTCTAATTATGATTATAGTATGATAGCTAATAACCTAAAGAATCTAAATAGAAACATCAACAAGTATTTGTTTCATTGAAAAGCAAAGTGGAAAACATAGGCCTTCTAGAAATTCATGAAATAAACACCAAATAACATAACTTTGTCTAGGTAAGAGACTCATACCACAAGCCTAATCAAATCTAAAACCATATATGAAAAGTTATAAGTCAAATAATAGAAACCAATTTATAGGCAGTTTAACACTATTCATAGTGGATGCACAAAAAAAGTCTATGGGTAGTTAATAGACATCTTTTTTAGGTGCTTAAAGTACAAAATTGTTAGACGATCAATAGCCAACAGTTAAACAATCATAAGCATAACAAAATGGGAGAGTACCGTGTCCCTGCAAAATGACGAGATCGTCTAGAAATTAAAGCAACATTGAATTCCCGCCAAAAAATTGATAATCTCACCTGTATAAAGATACATCACAAAATAAAATTATTCCTAAACAATGTTACATTGAAAATGATTGCAAATGAAAATTTTGCAATGGGACATAACAACTATCACCACAAATGATGTGAGATTTTGAAAATAAATAAAAAAACTGCTATATAATAATGATATATAAAAGCAACGGATTCATGATTACCTGTGTGGTTGCAAACATTCATTTTTCAAGCATCAAAAGAGAGTACATGAAAATATATAGTTGGCTTTTCTTAGGTCAACCAATCATTTAAGCAAATGATAATAATACAAGATAAAGCTCAATGTTGACAATGTCGTGTAGTAAAAAAATTGTTGCAAGAAAGAAATCAATGCACATCTTCCACAAAGCGTCACACTACTCAATTATATATATGATATGCCTTAAGAAGGTTCCTAAAATATTTCAAATTCTTAGCATAAAAATCTAAATTCAAAAATTTAAGCAAATGCATGACCTATTTTCAAAAGCACCATAATAGTTATACCATTGCATTGACGATTCACTTTTTTAACGAGATTAAATATTGTGATTCTATGTTTCTAGGATAGAAGATGAGGTTTATTAATCTTCTGAATCAAGAAACTAGCCACTCTCTACTCATCACTTCACAAGGCCATCTTTATTTTTTGCATTTTCTTATATCTATGACTAGCCATTTTATCTGTTAAACCAAGCAATCTGACATTTTTGAAATTCCTAGGAACTTATCAGAACACTTCGCATCAAATCCAATGCCCTAGAGAGTTATGTGAAAATGAAAAGGAAATTGACCGAAAGTAGAGAGATGTAATCTCGTGTTCAATGAACCACACACAAGGTTTGTAAATAACAAAAATTACTAGCAACAAGAGGCGCAATATTTAAGGAAATATGAGTAGTCACGGGAGCCTCTGAGATAGGAGTTATTGGCACAAGAGGCGATGACGATGGTGGGGACTTCGAAGAACCATTGTGAGCCTAGGAGCATATAGGAAGAGAGGTGACTGCAATAGAATTAAGACCAAGAAAGGGAAAGTTGATGAATTTAGCCCAAAAGTGATGAAGAAACAAACACCAATGGTCTAAAGCAAGGGAAGAAAGCCACTTATGATGCACAGACACAGACACAGCAACACGAACACGACACAACGCGAACATGTAATACATCAATTATTGAAAACATAGGACACATCAAGGGTTGTACACGATATTATAATTTTTATATCTTCAAAATAGTGTATAAAAATTAAATAAGCATAATATTAAAAATAATTGAGAAATAATAATGTTGTGTCAAACATCGAGAAGGGAGATGCTAATGTTTATGAGAGTCAAGCATAGATGTGCAATGGCATCATGCATCAATGTCGAGACAACACACGCCCTCGATGTCAAGATGACGTCGATCATTAATGTTGAGATGAATTTGAACAAAGATGATATGTCAAGATGACGTGATGGCTTGATTGTGGGTGTAGAAATTGCTAACTTTGAGCATCAATGGTAAAGCAACATCAGATTTCGATGTTGAGATAGTTTAAAAATATTGATGTTGTGATGACGTCCGAGAGATGGCATTGTGCATTTTTTTGAAACCTTAGTCATAACCCACTAGGGTGAAATGAAAATGCAAAAGTTAAGGAAATAAGGTATTGGGTATAGGCGATTGATTTGAAGCTGAAGAAGGGAAATAAAAATTTGAAGTACAAGAATTATATTTTGAAAATTCATAAATTATTTAAGATAAGGGTGTTGGACAAGCATATCTAATTTATTTTTAATATATTTTTAATTGGACAAATCTACGACATGCTAGAGGCATGTCAGACGCGTGTCATGTCAGATATTTGTGCCAAACACTGGATACCACTTCGAGGTGAAGTGTTAGTGCATCATTGATGCAGGACTACGCATGCAATATTTAATTCACTTAGATTTTGCACAACTTATGATCAGAATAATTCTAAAACAAATCTACTAGCAAATTCAAGTAACAAAATAAAACAATTAGTGGTTATCCGCTTAGGTTTAAAATCACATGATAAGAACTTTGAAGCTTCCAAAATAAATAGAAAACAACACGATGAGTAGTAGTAGTTTTCAAATTAATCCCTAATCTAACAATGAGAATTAGGATGCATCGAGGTGCACTCAAATCCTACGATTACTAAGCTTAAGAAAGAGCAATGCGGAAGAGTCCGTCGTGACTGCAATCAAACCAATGAGAGTTTAGACTAAAAGGAATAAGATACAAGGGAAAAGAGAAACCTTCATTAGGGAGAGGTGGAGATCCTCCACTCGATGCCTTCGAAGTGTTCGTCGATAGCCTCTACCAAATAGACCAACGTGCGCTCCAAGTAATCCTCGACGGTGAGATCAACTCCTGGATTCACGTCGAAGAAAGTAGATTGTAGGATGTCTACGAAGCCGTCTTTATCCCAAGCTATGCCATAATCAGTCTCCGGATCCGCCATTCATGGATGATTGAAAGTAGTATCTCCTTAGCACTTGACAAAACTCCCGAGTAGTGGTAAGAACGAACTCCAAGTGTCCTCCCGAAAACATGAAATAAATCTGAAAAATGTTCAGGTTCTTTCAGAAATCTAGGAGGAACTTCAATTTTGGAGTTTAGAGGAGAAGAACTTGAAGGAGGAAGAGTTGTGGAATCAAGCCCAATAGGGAATTGGAGGTGGAGAGGAGAATTGGGAGAGAGAGAGGAGAAGGGGCGGCGGGATCAGAGGAAGGGTTGAGGGAATTCTATTCCCTAAATCTGTGGTATGATTTTGGGAATAGAATAGGAAATAATGTCCAGGGACATAAAACATAATGATTCAAAAATAAAAAGCCTCGATCATGGTCGTAGATCGGCGGCCACGTCTCTGATAAACCTTCCACGATCTGATGTCCCCATCAATCATGGAAAGCTACATTGAGTAGAATGCAATCGTCAGTGAGGGACAAGCACAAGGGAAATAGCCCTAGGCGGCCTACAAGAAGCCATCTAGCTATAGCCTAAGCAATCTCTCAAGATGAAGACAAAAAGCACATGAGTGCAGGATAGCATAGAGGCATGCAAGCACATGAGCATGTAGCAAAGGCATGCAACACAAAGATGTGGTAGTCAAAAAAATATGAAGAGGACATGCAACACAAAGATGTGGGAGTCAAAAAAAATGCGAAGAGGACGGACCGACTTGGGCGTCATGCAAGTATGAGTGAGATGGCGAGTGATCTTAGAGCAATTTTTGGTGGGTAGGGCATCACGCACTTGTGCTAGATATGTTTATGGCTTTGGGCATTCTCATATTTCGTTGTGTAAGGCTCGATCTATATCTCTTTTCATTGAGAACCAATAATAGTTTTACCTTAGAATTCTGTCTGTCAAGATATTTCTTGTTAAGTAGCTACCACACTCTCTTTCATAAAATTATTTAACAACTTCATATTGTTTAGGGTTTCAGACTTGCTCCCAAGAAGGAATTCAAGAACAAGGACTCTTCAACAATAAAATACCTTGAGGCCATCTTCTCCACCAATTGGGCTTCGTTTTGTCGAAAGACAAGCTTCCATTCTTCAAGTAATTGTAGATTAGTAAAGGAAGGGCATTGCATAACAACATCGGTTGCACTTCCTTCGAGGAGCTAAGGCTTCTACAACTTCTCCCTCTACCCTCAGTTGCGCTTGACTGCACTCGCATGTGTGTTCACCTTGGTTCACTAACAAGCTTATTGATTTTCGCTATCACAATAGGGCTTTCGTTGTGACTTTTGAATGCATTGGTCTCTATACGTAACTCCTAATTGTTGTTGTTTTGGATAGTGGATGCCATTTTGATCATCGTGTGCCCCTAATCACTAAGCCTGATGCTTGCAACCACTGCATTGCATTGCCACCTTAGTATTAGTGCATATAGTCTCCAATCTTGATGCCTATGGTGGCGTGCTTACTATTAAATTCAGCTTATCTCTGATCAATTTCTAGTATACTTCTCGTGTTCGATATCATCCTAACTCACTCCCTCTAACTCCAGATCTTCCCAAAACATCCATTTTATCAACTTTGCCAACAGCTTCGTAGGTTTGACCTCATTATGATGCTTCTCTAATGGTTGTTATCATTCCTAACGCTTCTTCCTCTATAATCTCCATTGCTTTGTGCTCCTTGATCATTTATTAAGGTTAAGGAGGGAAAGGGTCATGATCCCAACCTTGATTCCTCTTGCTTCAACAAAGACCAGTAACTCCTTATCCCAAGCTATTGTCCTCCTCTCAAGACAAACCAAATTTTATTTTATTTGATGAGAAATTTTCGGAAGCTTCACATTTTTCTCTCTAACTTGTTGACAAATTTTCCTAGGTTCATACCAATGCAGAAATTATCTGCAGATTTATGATCTATCTACTTTGACTAAGGCCTATAAAGTTAATATTAAGTTAATGCAAGAAACTGATTAATCAACTCTTTTCTCAAAGAACATGTTATGTAGATAGGATCCTAGTGTAAATTCTTGAGTGAACCTCAATTTGATTGGGAACCTCCTGTCAATCAAATTTGTGTTTTTTTTTTTTTATAAATTTACGAATTTACTATTTCAACCAATCCATTTTGTACTTCCCTACCTCAATTTTTGGTAAACTTCTTCAGGTCGATGCTGTCATTGTCAGGCTATCCAAACCATCAATGGCAAGTGTTCTAATCTAATTGGATGTTTATTCCCTTCTACAAAAATAAATTCAAACTGGCTCCACATCTAATTGCTACTCGCATATTCCTCTATATTGCTCTTCCTGTAAAATAGCTGGTCAAAATTTCTCAGAATGTTTTATGGCACACCTAAAGTTACATAAAGCACTAATACAAGTGAGATCTTGCATTAGATTAAATCATAAAATAAATATTAATAGCAATTTTCCATCAATTTTTGATGTGGACTGTACTCAAAACTCGAAATCAACTTTGAATCTTGTGTTGTAATCAATGCCATCCAACGGTTACTAA